AACAATCAATCGATTCATATACATCGCATTCTTACTATTCATGCCTTATTTTAATGAATGTTCAGACTTTTGTATCACTTATACCATTTTACAACTTATATATCACCACTCTCGTCACTATATATATATTACTGTATAAATCAAGCTTCACCAACATCATCACAGTCCATGCATCATCATAACATAATTCACTAGATTCATCATTTTCCACTCCAATTCTATCAGTCACATTGAATCGAAAGTTCACTTCATTTCATTTCCCTCCACACACCAATTGGTACGTTCACCCAATAAAATGTCCCAACAGTCAGCAGGGCCATTTCACAGCATTCCAGGATCTGAATACCTGCAACCACCTTTTCGATCCAATTCCAAAAGAAAAATACTAAATCCCAGAAAAGTCGGAATATTCGAATGCTTTATTCCGTATAACAGCTTTGCCTCCTTTATGAACCGGTCTTTGGCCACTGTGGATTCGCCTTTTAACTTCTTAACAACAACTGTTTTCTGAAAGCACCAGTGCTAATTTCTTCAACATGTTTTAGTAATTCCCAACTAAATGTGGGTAAACACTGATCTATTTTTCGCCTTTTAATTAGTGAAGGAAATTTAAAGCTTCCCTGTACTCCAGACATTTTGAATGTCGGCAACCAAAAGCTGTTTGCCGACGTATTACACTATTTTATCTCACCTTTTGTCATTTGAGTATGTGGCACTTTGGGCATAGTTTTCAATGGTGCGCTTCCTATCTAAGCACAATGTCTGAGATAAGTAAGAATGTGAGATCAAATTTCGAAAAAATACTATTAGATTGAAATATCATCATTACAAATGAAATAAAATATTTAGCATAGAACTGGACACAGTGGACAGCAAGAATTTACCCGAAGGTTAGAAAAATGCTGTGTGACACAAATTACATTTAATGACAGTTTTCGCCAGGTTTTTTAAACGCCGCGCTTCCTATAGCTACGAGCCGACAGTGACATTGGAATTTGAATACTGTTACCCGATCCTCACGTATATGAAGAACGTACCAATAAATATTTGTATGATTCTATCCAATAACTTATTGGCAGTGTTTAGAGCTGATGCTGTGGGTTAGGAGTATAAATATGCGTAAAGCTTAGTTCAGTTCCAATATGTTAATGGCCGTCTTGCGTTATACCATGCAATACTTTTATTGGCTTATAATGTGCGGATCGGTTGATTACTTGTATAGTTAACACTGACGAGTATTGTTTTATTCACGCAAACAATAAATCAACATAAGAATGATAAGATCGTGTAAACATCTACATTAATAAAAAATATTTTATTGCGGTCTAGTAGGGTCTATTATAGCTATGTTTTAATATTTGTAAAGTGCCGAACACAATGTTAATGCAAAACAAGTGCGCGGAGTCAAAGCCAGAGTGGCGAACCATTTATTAAAGTAAAGCACAATCTTATATAATACAATTGCGTGGGAGCCTTGGCCTCTCCCAAGAAAGGAACTACGTCACAAACAACATAGTTTCGGTCGCCTAATCCTATTACTGTAATTTCGATTTACTTCAATGCTACACTTGCCATAACGCAACGAAAACAATTCATGAAAATATTTAATCAAAAATCTTCAAAACGTTAGGTTTTTTCCCGATTTCGTCCATTCCCCGGCCATTCCCCGGCCATTCCCCGGCCATTCCCCGGCCATTCCCCGGTCATTCCCCGGCCATTCCCCGGCCATTCCCTTCCCCGTTCCCTTCCCCGTTCCCTTCCCCGTTCCCTTCCCCCATCCCCTTTCCCCGTTTTAAAGATAGCCGTTTTAAAAACGAAAATTCATCGCACGGATCAATAGTTGTTGTTGACAGCCGCCATGTTGATATACCATAAATAAACGTATAAATAAACGTTTTACTTACCCTGCAAGCCTTGGGCACTCTCTACATATTTTCTCTGACTCGTCTCCGGGTATTAGATCACAGTAAATAGAAGATTAGATCGAGCCATGATATGCATCTTGTCGTTGACCTCAGTGCTTTTCCAATCCTTGTAAACGTACACTGTAAATCGGCCATTTGTTCTCTATAAAGGAGCCTGTTTTCCTCTTCGACATTTTGCAACAGCAAAACATACCAGTCTGGTAGGGAAACGCCGGTAGTTATATCGAAACTTCTGCTAGCAAATATCGAACTGTGACAATGTGACAGCTAAGACCAGACGTTTAATTTAAAAAAAGACGCCTGCTCAGGCGTGCACACTGGCCTGAAAATAGCGAGATACGTGCTATGGTGCAAAAGGCAGGAATACAAATCTTAAACCGCAAGCAAATTTTATGGACTTTTTTTAAAAATAAAAGACCTTTTCGGGAGACGTAATGGTGCAAATATATAACTAGGAGTTACTATCGCAAGGGAAGTGCTGCCTTTGTGGCGTATGAACTGAATGCAAAAAATTATACTTTTACACAATTCTCGGTTATATCCCCAATGTTTCCTTCTCGTTTATCATTTAAGCCCGTTCACAAACTCATTCTTAAATTGTGTGCACGGAATACGAGTAAATAGCCAACATGAAAATGAAGCCATTGGGCAATGCACACTACTTTAGTATTAACTCTGGCTAACGCCAGACCAATTTACACTGTAACGCCAGACGATTTTACTTGTTAGTGGCAGAGTACTGTCAGTAAATGGGTTAACAAATACATCTGCCAATGTCTCTTATTAACAGGCAATGCACCCTGCTTTAGTATTCTTTAGTAACTCTTCAGAATTTGCTCAGAGTCAATGTGAGTAAAATACATCTTCTATTCAAGCGCTTTCATGTACAAAGTTTCGTTTGAATACGGCACAGAGTAGGAATATTTATTTTGAATTTTTCAGAATATCGGGTTTTTACTCGCACGCACGTTTATAGCTCGATCGATCATGCACGTGCAAATCATGCCGACCTACAGAATCGATTTCCGGTTTTTCCTAAACAGCGCGTTGTTTTGATGTGCGTTCCATGGGCCGCGCTAAAAATATAAATATTCTGTAAATACGGAAATAAAAGATGAAAATCTCAAGACACAAGCTTGAAAATAACACTATAAATAGTGTTTTCGATTCTGGTTCCAATAATATCATTACGAAAAAGATATGTCCAAAGGAGTCGAAGTTATGTCGGCAAAATATATGGCTAGTACGTTTACATTTTTTTGTTATATTATGAAATATGATAGCATACTTGTATTAAAATTCGCGTCGAACTAATGTTATTGTATTAGGCAAATGAGTAGACTTGCCACAAGTCGACCTCGAACGAAATGCGTTTCTTTGAGGTCGACTTGTGGCAAGTCTAGCAAATGAGAACCATACAATAATGGTTTTAGTTCTTGTTGGTATTTTGAGCACACGGTTTATAGCTACCACAAAGCTTTTCGCGCGGATTTTATTTCGCGCAGTACTAAAATTTCCGCACTAATTCTCTTAATTCTAGTACTGCGCGGATTTTAATACATGTATTTAAAGGTATATTGTCGACATTTGACTAAAACTATCGTAAGGAATTAGGAGAGTTTGCCCTTGTGTATATTCCAATATATTGTATAAATTCGCTGGGTACAAATTTATGAAATTTTGGGGTTTTTGAGTCGTTTAATTTAATACAAAAAGAAAAACATTAATTCAACAGGCAAGAAAGTCCAGAGTGCGACGCAAAAATTAACACAAGTACACAACGGATGTTATGAGTCCACGACATATATTTATAGTTGTTTATTAAAAAGTCAAACTGTCAAACCTTTAACTTGTCCTTGTTCAAATACCCTTCTATATATTGTATAAATTCGCTGGGTCCAAATTTTGTGGTTTTCGAGTCATTACACAAAGAAAAACACATTAATTCAGCACGCAAGAAAGTCCAGAGTACGACACAACGTAAATCCATAGGAAATCGGCACAATTCTTTGAAAATTCAACGAAACTGTGTAAAATATAGTTTAATCACTCTGTGAAAAGCCGCCATTGGAGTTCGGAATTGTGCGCGTGCGTACAAGTGTATGGGCTAATAAACGAAAAATGCACCACAAGCATGGCATGAGTCGGCTATTACGTACATAAATACGAACTTATTACTATACTATCTAAATCATGGAACCGAGGGAATCGATGGCATTTTAGCTTAGTCGTTGCACCTTGAGCCTGCGATGAGCTAACGCAAACTCGATTTCTCGACTACGAAAAAAACAGGAAAACACAGGGAAAACAGAAAAGGGGGGATTTAAGACACTTGGCCTACAGGCCAGTGTAATAAGCAACGAGAAAGGACTTCGAACTATTGTTCACAGTAGGATCTAATCTTTCGTTGTATCAAATTTCTTCTGTACACTAGAGAGCTAGGTCACCCACGTACGAACCAAATTCCACTTCGTCCAAAAAGCAGCGAGCAAAATAAAAATTGGGCTGGTTAACGTATACTGAGTACTTTGCAAATTCATTCTGTCAATATTTCTTCTATAATCGTAAACGACTTATATATCTACACCGTCAGTTGATGGAGCAGACAGATGGTGTCAAGGTTACACAGCCTACAGGGTACAGTTACCCGACCGGGACAATTTAAAATAGCGCGCGCGGGAAGATCGCATTCAAATTTATTATACATACATAGAACTTCACAGCGACAGTGTAATACAACAACCTTAAATTCTGTAAAGCTTTTGGTAGTATACCTTGCGCAAAGTCAGTTGAAATGGCGCATTTTAACCAGCATCCCACACAGCGAGTGACGCACTTGCTACCAGTGATGATTTAATATCAAAAATAGAAGAAATTAACGAGAAAGTTCAGAGTTTGTCATCTAAGCATGATGTGACATTTATAAGTAATATGTCAATAGATGAGACATGTTTGAACTCTAGTGGCCTGCATCTAAATGCAAAGGGGACCGCCATACTAGCTACACATTTTATTAAGTTCCTTAGGGATGGACAATCCTTAAGTTCACTGCGCCCACAAAAACATTCCCGTCAGGATTTTCCAAAGAACACAATAAACCATCTGGCAGAACTACTAAATGCGATAATGAACTTGAACAAGTAAATTGTCAAGATGTGCCAAGCAATTCTTTATTAGGCATAGATAGTGAAATTAACATAATCGCCAAAAGTAAAGGTTTGAAGATAGCCAACTTAAATGTAAATAGCTTAATGAAACATCTGGATAAAATTCGCTTAATCCTTAACAATAACGCCCTTGACATTCTTGCAATTAATGAGTCCAAAATTGATAATCAGATTTCAAATAATGAGATACATATTGGTGGTTTTAATATAATTCGTAAAGATCGAAATAGGTTTGGTGGAGGTGTGGTTCTATATGTTCGCCAAAACATATCATTCTCAGATAGAATAGATCTAATCCCTGATGAACTTGAGATGGTCTGCATTGAATTAAGTTTACCCTACAATAAATCACTGCTAATAAGCACATGGTATAGACCACCAAATTCTCTTATGAATATATTTGATTACTGGGCAAGCTTTTTAGCAAAATGTGATAATGAAGATAAGGAGCTAATCCTCATAGGAGATTTAAATTGTGATGTCAGTAAAACTATACCTGACCCTCACACAGGTAAGTTGCAATTTTTATGTTCTCTGTATCAGATAGACCAACTTATTAAAGAATCTACAAGGCTAACTCCTAAATCAGCTACACTAATTGATTTAATATTAACAAATAGACCAGAAAATATTTCCAGATCAGGTGTAATTCACCTGGGAATTTCAGATCACAGCCTTGTCTACGCTGTGAGAAAATTTACACTACCGAAAGGAAGGCAAAAAATTCGTCAGGGTCGTAACTTTAAAAACTTTGTCGAAAATGATTTCATTCGGGATGTGTCTCAATTGCCTTGGGAGATGGTCTATCAGTTTGGAGATCCCAATTTATGTTGGCAAGTCTGGAACTCACTATTATTAGATGCACTTAATAGACATGCCCCTCTGCGCCACAAGCGAATAAGGAATAACCCTGTCCCATGGATTAATCCTCAAATTAAAGAACTTATGAGAAAAAGGGACTATCACAAAAAAAAGGCCATAAAATATGATTCGGAGTCACAGTGGGAATTGTATAAAACACTACGTAATGAAGTAAATATAAACATGCGGAAAACAAAATCTAAGTACTTTTGTGATAAAATCCAGGCAAGCTCTCAAATGGGAGACAGTAAAAGTGGATGGGCTTGGATAAATTCGCTCTTAGGAAGAAAGCATAAGAATGCAAATATTAATGAACTTAAAGTAAATGATGATATTATTTCTGATGATAAATCTATTACTGAAACATTAAATGAATATTTTATAAATATTGGAATGAAGATGGCTGCTGAATCAGCATGTCAAAGCACTGATGCTTTAAATGATCAAGTAATTTATGAAAGTATTGTGCTTCTTCCTAAAGAAAATTTTCACTTCGCAGATATTACTATGGATATAGTGTTTCCAAACGCCTACAAAAACTAAATGTCTCAAAAGCGACAGGTATGGATGGAATACCTGCGAATATTTTAAAACTGACATCAACCCTTATTGCTCCATCTATAACTTTTATATTTAACCTATCGATTAGAACTGGTATTTATACAGATGAGTGGAAATTAGCTAGAGTTATACCAATTTACAAATCTGAGGATAAGCGTAAATGCGAAAATTATAGACCAATTTCAATTCTTCCCATAATAAGTAAAATATTTGAAGGGGAAGTTTTTACTCAAATATATAGCTTTTTGAATAAACATGCGCTTCTGTCTAAATTTCAATCCGGGTTTAGACCAAAACATGGAACCTTATAGGTGCTCTTATACAAATGTGTGATCAATGGCTACAAGACATGGATGAAGGCAAAATAAATGGAGTTGTTTTTCTTGATATATGTAAAGCATTTGACTCGGTGAATCACGAGATATTATTGGAGAAGCTTAAAACCCAGTTTGGAATTCACGACATTGAATTAAAATGGGTCCAATCATACTTAAGGAATAGAAAGCAAGTGTGTTCTGTTAATGATCAAACTTCTTCTGCAAGAACAATAATATGCGGAATTCCGCAAGGATCCATACTTGGTCCATTATTGTTTTTGCTATATATTAATAATGTGCCTGACATTTTAGAAAGGACAACCCCATGTCTTTATGCCGACGACACTCAGATATCTTCCTCTTCGCATGATTACGATACATTGATTGACAATTTGAATATGGACCTTTCCAGTATTTATAAATGGCTTGCTAAAAACAAACTAAAATATCATAGGAAAAAAACAAAAGTCATGTTTATTGGATCTACGCATAATCTAAATCATAAAATAGGAAATAGACCCGTTGAGATTAACAAAATCCCAGTCCCACAAACCAATACATTTAAATGTCTAGGTGCAAATCTAGATGAAAAATTAAGTTGGGAGAAACATATTGATTCTGTATGCCATAAGATTAGCGCTGGAATAGGAGCAATTAAAAGAATAAAACCTTATGTTCCACACAAAACCTTACATGATGTCTACAAAACATTAATTCAGCCTCATTTTGATTACTGTTCTCCCCTGTGGGATAACTGTGGTTTGGGACTTCAAGACAAATTGCAAAAATTCCAAAATCGAGCAGCAAGGCCGATTACCGGAGCTGACTACGATGTAAGATCGTCTGAAGTCCTAAACAAATTAGGCTGGGAAACCCTGGCTAGGAGACGAGAACAAAACAAGCTAGTATTGATGTATAAAGTCTTGGGGAACCACACTGCGCCAAACCTTAAAGATCTTTTTTCTCAGAGAAATGCATCGCAGAATATTTATGATTTACGCAATAGCGAAAATGATCTCTCGTTAAAAAAACCGAAAACGGAATTTCTAAAGAAAACATTTGGATACAGTGGAGCAATTCTATGGAATAGTCTCCCGCAAGATGTCAAGGCGGCTGAGTCAATTACGTCATTTAAAACAATGGCGAAATTGCATTTAAGCAGATGATAAGCTAATTTCTCCAGGACCAAATGATGGGAGGACAATATAGATTGTGGGCGGGAGGGGAGTTAATTTTGCGTGAGGGTGGGTGGGTACTTGTTTAGGGGGTGGAGGTTTGGGAGGAAGATGATAAAATTTTAGGGTGGGATTCTTACATATTTTGTTCTATATATAATTAACATTTAGCTCTTTGTGTGTATACGCCCTTCGTGGAAACCAGTTGTAAATAATTGTCGAAGTTAGCGTATTGAAATAAAGTTTTACATACATACATTACATACAGATTAGGATTGCTGCCTCGCTCGCTCGCTTCACGCTCGCTCGCTACGGCAGCAATGAAATCCAATAGCAAAAACTTGTGTTATATAATTTACCTGTACGTCATAAGAATGCTTTGTAATTTGTATTTATTGCTGCCGTAGCGAGCGAGCGGGAAGCGAGCGAGCGAGGCAGCAGCCCTAATCTTTGTATATATATATATATATATATATATATATATATATATATATATATATATATATATATATATATATATATATATATATATATATATATATATATATATATATATATATATGTACATATATATGTATATATATATATATATATGTACATATGTATATATATATGTATATATGTATATATATATATATAATAATAATAATAATAATAATAATAATAACGATTTATTCAACAGATCCATACATATGGCTCTTCCCTGTTAAAATACTAATTAAATACTATATTCTATAACTATGAACTATAACGTTTATGTGTTGAAATTAGATAAAATCGATGTTCGGATTAAAAACTAGTTTTGGCGTGCTCTTTCGAATAAAAGTTCTTTAGTTAATTTTAAAAATACTTTGTAATTAGTACAATTCCTGATGTTCTCCGGTAAGGAATTAAAAAGTTTCGCAGCACTATGTTGAAACGTTCCAGTTTCTTTTGGCACGACTAGTCTAACTGCATTGGTTGAGCGCAGTTCTCGAACGCAAGTTTGTCGTTCTAGCTTTAGATACTCTGGCCACTCTGGGAAGTACATGGCTTTGAAACTCGATTTCAGGATGTTGAGGTCTCTTCTTTCGTTAACTGGAAGCCATCCAACTTCCAGGATATCCTTTTGATCTTTAACATATCGACCCAAGACAAAACTAGCAGTTGCAAATTGAACTTTCTGTAAGCGCCTTGATA